ACTTTTTCGCAAACTTTCTTTTCTCAGCCTTTCAATGATTCGAAACCTCTTTGTGCGAACAGGAAGTAATAGACCCCGTACCCGGGTTCAGTTAGAAAAAGCTTTGCAGCCGGAATTCGCCAGCAGCCGTACACTTCAGGGGTAAAGATTATAGTGAATGAAGCAGTGAAATGGAGACAGGCAATTTCAGTAAAAAAAAATGTTGGCACGTAGACAAACATAACGAACCGGAGCGCACATATCGTTGACCTAATACAAGAGAATATGAGACTGTGTGCGAGCATACAAGTAATATTTTCAGCCTATAAAATAGGGCTCTTGTTACCATGGCGACAGTGTGAAATGAGGTTGGTGCGCCAAGTAGATATTTATAATGAGAAATAGAACGTGCACCTCGAATGGCGCCTATTCGATGAAGGAGAAAGTAAAGAGGAGTATGTTTAAAGGCACCCATTCTTTCCGTACAATCTCCTCACGTAATTTTTTTTAGTCGAAATTGCATCTTTTTATCCGGGATCGAGTACCTTATGAAACAGCTGAGACAACAACGCACCTTTTTCAATGCATTCTGTATAGTTTCCCATGATGCATTACTGCGAACAGCGTCAGGCTAATAACTCGAACATAAATGGTTTTTTCTTTTATGCTGAGAACGCTTAATTTTGTGGTTCGCTTCATTGAAAGGATCCTGGAGTCTATGCTATGTAACTATGGCGCCCAGCATTTCATTTTGTTGTCGACAATGAAATAATTGTCTTGGTTCATTTACATTATTCTATTTACACAACATCGTGGAGACTAATGCGAACCTTTGTATCAGTTGCTTTCGTATGACACAATGATGTAGCGCTTTTGCTTGCGAATGCGCCAAGTGGTCTGTTAACTAGGCTGTGCCACAATTAAAATAATTTCCTACTTCAGAGACGAGCAAACTGTGCGATCCTTCTCAGTTTTCATAGGAAACATCATATCAAATTGTTACCAACTCTCTTGACCAAAAGTATACAGAGGCGGTGCTAGCTTAGCGGGATGTAAGTAAACCAGATGAGCAGGGTTTAAGCAAGATACAAAGTAAGAATGCAGATATTGCGTGTACCATTTATCACCATGGTGAAATCCCTAACATCTAAAATAACTAAGACATAATAATGATATGTGCGACGAACTGTTTACAAATAATTAAATTGGTGACTAATACTATCGTTTTGTGGTTACTTTTTCTTGTACATTAACTTTTAGGGGTAACGCACTCTGTGCTGAATAGAAAAAGCAACAAGCTGTTAGTTGCGTGCGCATAGGACGGCTCAAAAGCGTAATACCGCTCCTACGTGTGCTTTTTCTTCTCTCAGTGGTCCAGTTAACGTTTAATAGCGTTCCCACTAACTTTGTAATTGTTTGAGCTTAGCGTAGCTTGGCAAACCCGCGCAAAGAAACGCCCGCACAGAACCGACACCACCGCGCGTGGGTAGCCACGGGTTGTACAGCTCTGCACCTGCTTCGCTAGCCTATACACTGCTACGCCACTAGCCCATAGAACCGGGAATATGATGGCATCATTTAGTATTTTCTTGACGTTACGCTGCTCTATAGTGCCCTTGGCATGCCTGGAATGAGTGGTCAGGCTTTATCCCGTGGGTTGGTGGTATACAGCCTATAGCATATCAGTTACATTAACGGCCGCTTCTAGTTTTGATTGCTTGGTCGACTAGCGCAGCTTTTTTAACGCTTAAGCTTTTGGCGAGTATTACCCAAGCGTGTTTTGTGTAACCGTTGTTTTGAAAGCATGTGCCCTTTTTTAGTGATTTGAACATGCCAACAGAAAGGACAGTACATCGCTCGAACGGATGATCGTGCGCCGGGGACATGTCGAAACCTCGAGACGATGTAACTATACGGCGGGATGCCAGAGCTCAGAATGCTCTAAATTCTCAACTAAAACACGCGTCTATCAGGATCGTGCTTTTTAATTGTTATAGAGTGATTTGATGAATTACGCAAAGAATGGGACCCCTAAACCACCCTGAGTTCAAAGGCGGGACACTAGTTTGTTTATCGCTTCACTTCCTACAAGAAATGTCTGTTCCTCGACACATGGAATGTTAGCACTAAGCACATGGAATGCCCCTTCGAACACATAAAACAAACACATAGAACACATGGAGTGTCACTAAACACATGGAATGTCACATGGAAAAAACACATGGAGCACATATGTTACTAGACACATGGAATGTCAGCAGTAAGCGCTCAACCAGTAAGGATTTCGCACTCTTTGGCTACACGTTCCTGTCTCTACTTGCACAGTGCGACGCCCGAAAAACAAAGTGAAATGAGTTTATCGCATGCGACTCGTTCAATAAAAGACAGAATGTACATGCGACTGCATGGTAAAGCAGAGTACGAAATAACGCACAGCAGATATCACTAATAAATTCACCAATCTATAGCTTGTTTCATCCTGACGTCACGTGAACTGCTGACGTTACGAATTGTGTCGCGAGAACGGGAAACACAGAGATACAATATTCATTTTTTGTATTTTCACAAGTTGTTAAAACGTTTTTTAAAGCAGTTTTGACATTTATACTATATTAAGTAGCCAGAGCTATGTCAAGGAAGCCATTTACTTTTGAACACACGGTACTCGCGTCGCTTCGCATTATAATATACAAAGCACTTATTCTTGCATTTGGGACGTTCGATATAGCCCATAGCCATCGTAATGATGACCTCACGGGAAAACAATTGATCGATTTTTAAACACGTCCCGCAAGCTGACATTGCCGCCTTCCGCTGTGGCCGCACATTACAGCCTGTGATCACCTGATGCAGAAGGGTCTTCAGAGTGTCTTTGTTGCAACATACGCGCACGGTTGATGACTGTCAGTCATTCTCAGCGCAAACATTTGGGTCGTAAACAGTGCCATTGCCAGTCCTTTCGTTAGGGGAGGGTAAATGATCCTTGTTTATTCGGGCGTGTGCCTGCATGCGGCGTGTTCATATGCACCTGCAAAACTAAATAAAGTAGGGTGGGGGTTAAATGGCTTCAGCGAGCATAGTCCTCAAGCACAATACGGTAGTTTGAACATCATGCCAAAAATATGTTAGTGTGTTTTCAGATCTTTACTATTTGGAAGCTATAGAGAACTTATCTTCTTGCAATACGCATTATGATATACACTCCATACATCTGTCAAATGTACATAGCTTGATGACAAGGGGACGGAGGTCGATATAAAAGCAGGCGGAAATGTTAAAATAATGTATTTACAAAAATAATTTTATTGAAAACGAAGATATTTATCCAATTACGGCGCAATAAATATTTAATATATTTCTCAATAAGGCGCATTCAACTTTGGTCGAATTATGCTTATAAATATACATGATCGTGCAGAAATACCACCTCAATTCTTGAGTGGTTGTCATCTGCTCACCGCGAGCATTCCAAAGAAAGTAAAAAAAAAAATATGCTGAAGTTCCTACTGTAACGCTTTGCGTCCGATCTCTCGTTGAACATGTACTGACGTCACCAAAACGATCATTTGCAGCACAATATTTCATTTATAACTGATAAAAAGGAACAACATCGCACTAGAAGAATGATTGATTGATACGTGGAGTTTAACGTCCTAAAACCATTATATGATTATGAGAGACGCCGTAGTGGAGGGCTCCGGAAATTACGACCACCTGGGTTCTTTGACGTGAACCCAAATCTTAGCGCACGGCACAAGAAAAATGACATAATTATCGTTAAATAAGTAGCTTCTTAATAGTGGACACAGAGTTTTAATGGGAGTGGATTCTGTCTGGCCTGTAGCCAAAGGGGGGAGGGGGGCTTGAGCCCTCCACCTCCTGAAGTTAGGACGGAGGGAGTATTTTATGCCTGCAAAATAATAAAAGTGCTTTGCGACGCCTTCACAAAGTGTCACGCGGGTTTATCATGTGGTATTCCTTTTTTATTTCGCGGGAATTCATAGTTAGCAGAAAAAACAATAATAATTAGCGGATATAAAGCTCAAAACTGCCTAATTAGACGTTTTGCAAACAGATCTGCAACTTTGTGGTAACCACGTTTTATCAATCTTTGTTCGTTCAAAAGTTGGTAAATAAACATATTTAATTGAACCATATTTTAGAGCCAACGGTCAGCAACATGTATTTGGTCGCGTCATAATTGCGTGTGTGAGCATACTTCTAAACTCCGGCTAAGGACAGCTGGAGCACCCTCTATATGTCTGTTGTTGCAATAAATTCACAGTTGTCAGTTTGCGCTGTGGGTTGTCTCTTTCCTTCTGTGGTATTGTTTTTTTTTTCGTGCACCGCCGTCAAGATAAGTAACCAACTCACCCGTGAGTCCGTGCTTCCCACTTTTGAAGTGGCTGAAGAGTCTCGGGGAGAGTGCCTTTCGCCCGACAGAGGGCAGCACAACTTGCTACATAATGTGTCATGCTGGTATAGAAAAAAATATCCATTCAGTAAAATGAAATAAAGTTGGCATATTGAGAAAACACAGCTTGCTTTAAATATAGCTGCTTCAATGTGCATTAAGGTTGATGCATCAATGAATGTGTTTGGTTGAAACATGGTCTTCGTAATTCAAATGCCCTAGAGAAAATAGATGTTTCAGTTGCGACATCGTTACTCTGGACAAGAATGTGCATAATAAAAAAAAAAACTGAAACTTGAGGCTTGACGTTTGTCGTGCTTGATTGGTCAAAAATAAAACATATTTGCGTAAATGAATTTCAACTGAGAATGCATGTCGTGTGTTTCCCACCAGAACTAGACTGCCGAGAGTTTCCTACGATATTTTCCAGATGGAACAGCACCGTGTCGATTGTTGTAGATGGCGCAAAGTGTTACAATCATAAGAATTGTAAAGTATTACAATCATGGCGCTCTTACGTTGAATTCTGCCTGCCGATAAGTCAGGAATGGACGTGACGAATACTTGAGAAGGCAAAAAATATCTTCAGACACAGTGAATGAAAGCATTCCATGAAGTAGGGTGTCATTTATTCAGAAAGTACACTTTTCAAATTGATTTTCGGTTAGGTATAGCTTACTAAATAAAAATAAAAAAAAGAGCCTGCTGACAACCAGACCACGTCAAGCTAAGGAGAATATTGTCTTCAAGAGACCAAATATTTCGGGTATGATTGTTGCTTATTCAGAGTCCCCAACTCGTGCAGAAAAACATACGACTGCAACAGTACGGGACTCGTTTAAAACATCAGAAGAAAGCTTGCGTGGAACGCTCGAAATATTTGTTGCAGGAGAACGAACAACCGCACGCACACACGCACGCACACACAAAGTAAAAACTAAGATTAATGCAAACAAGATGGGGTCACTATAGACAAGCATTGATATGACAGGAAACTCTTATCCATGACGTGACAAAGATAGACAGATAGATTCTTCGGTATCGAGGAGTACATTTCTCATAGCATGTACTGCCGGTTGTTGTAAACTTAAGGCACTTTTACTCTCAGCCAAAGTAGCCGGCAAAGCTAGCAAGTGGATGACGACTACGGGATTTGTTCACTCCTGATAGAAAGTGCCTTTCCCATGACGAAGGGCAGAACCACAGCAGCTGCTTTAAGTATTATGCTGGTATAGAAGAATATTTGTTTATTAAAATAAGGCAAAGTCGATGTATTTTCAAACAAGAAACAAATGTTGCTTTAAATAGTCCTGCATCTACGAACATATTTGGCTGAAACAGGGTCGGTGTAATTTGAATGTCTTGGAGAACACAGCCCTTTAAACAGTAACATTGTCACTTTGGAGAAGACTTTGCATAATAAAAAACTAAAACTTGAGGCTTGAAGTTTGGGGTGCTTGATGCGTCAAGATCAAAACAAATTTGTGTAAATGAACTTGAACTGACAAGACATACCACCACCATGAAGAATCCCAGCACACGCGGGCTGTCCAGAGTTTCCTTTGATGTTTATGAGGAACAACCGTGGCGTTTCGATTTTTGATTTAATACGGATATGATAGGCAGTACGCGGTTTTGCCTCGTATCCAGGCACGCGGATACAAACATACACGTGACTTTTCTAAAGTTTTACCTTTCGTCGCAGGTTAAACAACGTCCCTGTGGCGAACCGAACTTCGTGAGGCAATTTGAATTAGTGAGACTGGAAGGTAAAATGAGATAATACTGGACTGTTGAACTTCATCTTGTCATAAAGGGGGCCACAGCCCGGACGGAGCCACAAGAAGGAAGCTTAGGAACATCCACATCCTCCCTGCATTTTTCATGTTAGCTCAAGCTCCGTGCGTTACATCTGTTATATACGCGTATAGTATTGCCAGATTTCTCCCTAATGTACCAATATGAAGCTCTATGGGATTACCGATTGACTTGTTTATAAAATTACCATCGCTGGATGACGTGCGCACAGGTGTTCAACACTTTAACTACATGAAAAACACGATGTTAGTAAAAACAAGTATCTGCGTCACCGAACAGCATCTCCCTATCGTAAGAACCGCAGCCACTTTCTTCTACAAAAACGGATGATGTAGGTATGTAGTTCATCACTGCCTCACATTCCGAAAGTTTTATAGCAAGCTCGTAAGGCAGTTCCTCCAGAAATAGGTCGCCTGAGGTGGCATCCTCGCAACCACTTCGGGCCGATTTGCTTCGTCTGAAGAGAGCTATAAGCAAGCATTCGTACGCGTGCGTTGGGGGAGGTGACGTGAGGACGTCGGCCAGCTGATTCAACACGCAGTGGGACAAAAATGATGACACGAGTTCAAACTTTTCCGTGTCGTCGAAAACGCCGAGCTGGCGCAAGTGCTCCTTTACGGCGAAGTACCACTCCAGCAACTCGGCGTATGACACGTCCAGAACCGGTAACACGGGAACGTCGGCTACCAGAGGTGAGCAGTGGCGTTCTGCACCCGTCCAATCCTGTTGTTGCCAGTGACCTTTGACCTCGTGCGGGACACCGGCCGTGACGAGAGCGCTGGTCGTCGACCTCACTGGCAGTCTGCGTAAGAATTTTCGACGCGTGCTTGTGTTCAGTACTTGTCGAGCTTAATGGCAGTATTGTAAAGATAACAATGGGGTAGTTGTATTTTTTTGCTTGTGCACCGTTAAAAGTCTTCCTCTCCCTGCTGTCACGTGAAAGATATATATATATCGTTATACCGTTTGTTTAGGAGTACAAAACGAGGTTTTAAAGGAACCTTGCGAGGCATGTACCAGTAACTCTCAAGGTCTTTCACATTGTGTTTTGTGTGATTTCGTGCGTCTAGGTATCAGGGCATGCGGCTCAATATCATTTTTTTGCATAACATTTTAAGTGTGAAAGAACACTTGCGCGTTTTGTTGTATACAGTTGATGCACTGTTTCTCGCCCCACCCTAACCTCTGATAACACGTCCATGCCTAATTTTCTCTGGGTCACGAATACAAAACTTTTTGTTCGTATCTTTCAGCGCACTCATACCTATACTCCACCACAATCGCTATGGCCGCAATGACCCAGGCACGCGTGTATCTCTATGGTCTATGGTGCAATACTTGAATATCCGGTTCACCGTCACATCTGTGCCAGCATTTAGCCTTTCAGATGCCGCCTAGGATGAACTGTCTGTTAACGCATCAGTTGTCGAAACATTGCAACGCACTGAGCATTTTACTTTAAAAAATATCTTATGAATCCTTCATTTACTTGTGAGTTGTAACGAAATAATGTAATTAAGTTGTAATAAGTATATGTCCTAAACTTATTCGTCCTGTTTTTTTTTTCAAAATATAGTTAACTATTGGCATCGAAATACACTGCGAATCTATTTTCGAGTTTGTTCATTTTGAGCAAAGAAAAACTTTATACTTGTATGTTGGCTCGCGGAAAGCGACCCGTCAAACTATTCATCTAACGCAGTAGTGCCTTCAGTTATGTAACGATATTCAGCAGTACATATAAAAATAAAATAAATGAAGCTGCATCATGCCGGAGGTTCGATTAAGCAAAAGGTAAGCGCATATTGTTCTTTCTTGGCTGCTATCCGACAACTAGCAAACGCAAGTAGTGTACACAATTGTATACAAATCGTTTGGGAGAGTTTAGCCGAAGAGTATTTGCACCCCAGATGTCTTGGGTCAGATGAACTGGACAGCGGCTTGACGTACGACCTCATAGCAACGCCGTACAGTTTCAATGGAAAGAAAGGTCATTTAAGCAGCGCAATTCTGCCTACATAACTGATTGACTACCAATCGCCATTGACCACCAATGTCCGGTGACCTACGTAACCAGGCGTACAACGACCCTCGCCAGGGGGCTTAGCGCTTCTATTTTGCCTGCTACACTACTGCCAGAGCCAGGGTGGGCAGCAACAAGCCACTTTTTTTTTACAGACGTTATACATGACGTTCCAATCAGGCCTCGTGACTCTGAGGTCCAGATGCGAAAAGGAACAGGAATCCCCTCTACTACGCACTTTAGGACATGAAATGTCTGCGTGATTACACTTGGTTCCCCACAAGCCGAATAAAATGTCGTAGTGACTGCGAAACTTGTCAGACATTCCGACGCTAAGTCTTGCAGGGAATTAACAAATATTCATTCTTTTATAAAACGCACTTTACTTAAAACGAGTAAATTACATGGTCAAAAAGTAGATTTTCTGAAGACTTTTGGAACACAAAAGTTCCATTAAACAACATTAATTCACACATTGGGACATTGCTCAACTTACGGTCACAGCCACTCTTCACTGAATAAACTGTAGTTCATCATAGGGATCAGCTGACCACAAAATTCACCGAAAGCCCCCGTATCAACTCACGAAAAAAATTGTATCAGCGTGGCGTCAGCTGTACTCGACGATTGTGAAGTTCGTTTTTTAGGAAAAACTATAGACGAGGTTCTAACTATATGTCCACGAAAATTATTGTTACATGGTGAAGGCTGCAGTGAATGTATATCGAGTCTAATAATATTCATTATTAACAGTATATGCGTTGGGTGTACCACGATATGATTTTGAGAGACGCCGGAGTGAAGGCCTCCGGGAATTTCGACCATCTGGTGCACTTCAACATGCGCCCACATTGCACAACCCACGGGCCTCTACCATTACGCCTCCATCAAAATGTGGCCGTCGCCGCCGGGGTCGAACTCGCGACCTTCGGGAAAACATATTTTTTATATAAGTTTCGAACACTGTGGTAGTCTTTTCGAATAGTTTTTTTTATTGTCTCCGAGCGGCACATCTCACGTTAAGATGAACCATTTCACATTTACCTACCCTCTCGTGAACTCTTGCTTACATGCCTACAACATTCGAGTACCTGCTCCTCACATAGTCCTTGCCCTTTGTAATGCTCCAACCATCCCGTGTCATTTTAGCCATTAGCTTCGCCATATGATTGCGTCTACAGGAGGTCTAGTTTTTTTTTTTCGCCAGACCAGTCAGATAAACTCTGGCTCAAGATGCGAAACGTAGGACCCAGTGTCTATGGAACGTCCCTACGGTTACGTTTTATAGTAATGTTCTAGTCTCACTATCACGGATGCAGAATATATGTTGATACTCAAGGCCCTCATTTCCAAAACTTGGCAAGCATTTGCACAAGCGTGCTCAATTAGGCTGCAGCTGTAAATAACCATAAGCGCTTTTGTGTCATCTACTTCCAAACGTACAAAGTTTCCAGAACCCAGAGAGGAAAGAATTCAGCAGTGGATATTGTAAAGAATCGTTCAGTAGCTTTCATATGAACTTTATTGCAAGAACAGCGACAGCTTGTACAGAATATTAGAAAGGTCAATAATAATAAGAAAAAGGCTTATGAAAACAGAGCTTCAAGCATTGAAGGCTAAAAAAATAAAGAATGTAAAGAAATGCAAATAGTCGAACGGACGCTTGAGAGAAAAGCCAAAACACATCGCAATTTCGAACTGAGCCAGTCGGCACCGGGCAGTTGGTTTCTTTCATTGAGAACACTAGTAACAAAGTTGGCTGTTGCTCCAGCATGTCATCCTGTTGTCATTACACGTCATTCACTGAAACACCTGCTGGCGTCGAGTTGTGTGGGCGATGAGCATGTTTGTTCCAAAGTACGAAGATTATGAGATGAATGTTCGGCATCTTCAAAGTTTGCTTCGATTGTGGCATGCGGGCTTATAGCGTCCGGGCTATACTCTAGAAGAGTACCAGGATACTTCGGTACTCGGTATTTCAACATTTGTGAGCCCCTACCGATGCCTCGAGCCGGAGGTAGCGGGAGAAGCACATTCACTAGTGAGAGACGAGTTCGCTGTAAAGGAGGCAGCCCTTGGCTTAGACGGATTGTGCTTGGAAACCATCGCAGAGTTAGTGTGCGTGGCTTCCACTCGCTAGACGTTGTTTCAGTAGAGTGACAGTTGAGGTAGGATCGGAAGGAGCCTGCTGACGTAATGCAAAAACGCCGTTCATAATGTTGAATCTCTGGATAAGTGGCGGTCGTCCTTCCGTCATTGATTTCGTAAGAAACAGTGAATTCCCTGCAAGTCATGGGCCTTGCCGTGTTCGCCCATCAAAATTCCCTCTAATAGCATCCTCTGGTGCTGAAAGATTTCCGCTGGTATCTGATGTAGCTGGTATCTTAGTACTATGGTTGATCGGGGCTCTATTCGTGTCGATCGGGTGGTTGGATTGTGACGCGATCAGCAAGTGACTGCGGGGTGGTCTAGGCACTCTTGCTATTACCGGTAACTGCAGGTCTCGGTTGCTCGTTGTACAGGCATTGGCGATGCTATTACATGAACTTCGTGCTGGTAGTGCGTGGCAAACGCTCGGTTCGGGCGACGTGTTCAAGTATACTGTTCGGTCAGGGTTTTCGTTTCTTGCCCTTTCGTTGGCTCCTAGCTTGACGTAATTATCCATAGTACTATTGTAGATCGGTGATCGATCTATGTTCACCAGGTGGATGGATTGTGATGCAATCGGCAAGTGATTGAGGGGCCGCCTAGACACTCCTGCTATGACCGACAACAGCAAGTCTCGGTCGCTCGTTGTACAGGCATTGGCGATGCTATTAGATGAACTTCGTGCTGGTAGCGCGTGGCGAACGCTCGGTTCGGGCGACGTGTTCAAGTATACTGTTCGGTCAGCGTTTTCGTTTCTTGCCCTTTCGTCGGCTCCTAGCTTGGCGCCTGCCTTGTCGTCGTCTTCCTGAAACAGGGTGCCTATAGGTGCAGGGTTATTCCGATAATCAAATAAATCTGACAAAAGCGAAGACGACAGCGAACTTGATTGACTTTCAAATGGAGAAGAATGCTGCTTACCCGATTCAGCCGGTGAGGGCACTTCGTCCTGAAAGGTAATAAGAATATGTGACCACTTCGATATATTTCTAAGAAATCTAATTTATGTGTTCAATAATATTTCTATTACCTCTTTTGTTCTTACTCGAGTAGTCACGATGCCTATACAATTATTATGTATAGTTCTAATGTGTTGATGAACCCATTAGTATGCACTATGCCATTCGATCTTGCATGATATTACATTTAAATTATGTATGATCGTTTGTTATTGTGGCGCCCTCATCTAATGCGTGTTCACGTTTTCGAGCTTTGCAGCTATACTGCAAACTACTACAGTAGTGAATAGGGCACCAGTTATAGACCGGTTAACTTCTTAAACAGCGTCACATGCTTTATGGTGTTGAACTATGCTTTTCAGTGTGTTGATCTTACTGGTACTTCTGGCCCATGGGGCATACTCTTTCAATATATAAATATGTTTCACTGCTAGATTCATCACCAACTGTTATTTTCAATTACAACGAATAATTTAATTAATTTACTTACAAGTGCTGCCATCACATTCTGCGATTTTCGTGGGATAGGGATATAACTTTACGAAATGAATAGTATTGTTGAGAAAACAAACAAACTATACAAATAGGTGCTTGTAGTAAGGCAATACATATATAAGACTGAACAAAAAAGGCGCACTAATTGTCAATTAAGCAGTAACAGCAACAATGCAAAAATGAATATTTAAGTCGATACGAGACAAACTAACTCAAGAGCGACGGGAACGTCACGTCATTCAGCAGTTCGTTCTAATAAGTTACGTACCTGAAAAAGTGCGTAAATTAAAGCAGTTATTGCATCTAGTTGAGCGGGTGACCGCTAGTGCATGTGTTGTCTACTACCCCTCCTCCCACCACTCCTCTGCTTTTGTTTGATCAGTTCGTATACGTGAATCTGACATTCCCAATTTTAATGTAACTCACCTCCGAATCAGGCTTTGATGTTTCTTTTTTCGTTGCTTTCTTTCCTCCGTGAGCTTCACCTCTGGACCTTTGTGGTTCTTCAGAGATGCTGTCTAGTTCTGGCAGAGGGTACGGCTTATATTCCTCGCCACACAGGGAATTTTCCCCCGCCTCTTGATGGTCCGATCCCATCCACAAAAATCGGGAAAGAAGACAGGTAATTCATGGCTTCATCACTCAATCTAGATGCCAAAAATGAGGCATGTACTGCAGAGCATTCGTCCACGTCACTTTTTGTCTTTTGGACCACACGTCTCGTGGCAGGTACTTCCGGACAAACAGTGCGGCCAAAAGACAGTCGAATGGCTGTACCGAGTGAGGCTTCTCTAAAAAATCCGCCACGCAAGCATACTCCTTCAGGCCTACAAAGGCTTGAGACAGGTAGGCGTATCTGACGTGCTGACCAAATTTTGTGGCCTTGAACGATTCTTCCATTGCCACAAAGGCTCCCAGCCAATCCCCTGAAGCCAAGTGACACAACCAGATGGCTCCATCACCAATGCTTAGGCTACGGTTGGTGGCGACGGCTGTCTCGTCCGAGTCGTTGGATTCAGGTGGGTTGGAGACATCTCCTGCTTCAAGTTCTGACGAGATGCACTGGCAAGAAAAGCCCCACGAGTACGGATAGCAATTAGATGCCCGCTGATTGAAGGTGGTTAAGCTTGTTCGGCGAATTGCAGAATGAATAACTTTTTACGGATTTTTGCAACATTATTACTTTCTGGGTTCTGTGACCAGTGGCTTGCAAAATACGAAGATGGAACATACTGGCATGACCACAACTTCACAAGAACGCAAGGGCCCGAAATATTTGAGATATGCGCTGGGAGATCTCCAAGAAAAAATTGCCAGAACAAAAACACTATATCACCCTGAAAAGTTTTTGAGTAGTAAACGAGGTTAACACATTGAACATTGTCCGATGACATGGTCAGCATGTGAATATTGAATTTCTCTGATATGTTTTTATGAAAGACTGGTGGTTTGTCATTTAAACAAAAGATTTATAGCTGTCATTTGAGGGTGAAGTCATTTAAAAACATCAATCTACTGCTTCTTGGAGAAAGTTATCGTTCGAATGCGAAACAAAATTTTATCCAAGCTTTGATTGCAGATATTCATAATACTGGCGGGCCATATCACTAGCCTAGGCGCCAATAAATACCTTCGAAGTGGTTCATTGGAGCACATCGGCGGTCATAACAAAAGCGACACTGCATGAACTAAAGTTTCCGTTTTCTAATTAGTGTAAGCGTGCAACTATGCAAAAGATGCGTGCTTCAAAGCTTGAATTTGATTGGTTTCGCCATTGTCTTATTTAAAAGCAGCAGCAGGAAAAATGAAACGAGGAGCAGCTTGGTAAACTTTAAATTGGTCACGCGAAGGGGGATCATTTGTCGCTTTGTGTGCTTCATTTAGGATACAAAGTCGGTAGGCGTGCCAATGCTTCTATGCGTCGTGTCATTTCGGGCTTCTGAAATTTATGAATTCGCACGTAGAAACGAATTCGACAACGGCAACTTGAAACAAACACTACATAACGATGCCCTATACTGTGGTTAGCATGAAAATGTCTGGCGAAGCGTATATAATAATCATTATAATAATCATTTATTATAACGATTTCCAATAATAGCATTATAATAATCAGCATTATAATAGTCAATGTCGCGGTTTAATGAGCCAAACCACCATATGATTACGAGGGATAGCATAGAGTGAAGGCCTTCGGAAATTTCAGCGACCTGGGAGTCTTTAACGTGCACGCAAATCTGAGCGCACGGGCCTGCACTATTTCCGTGTCCATAAAAAATGCAGCCGCCACAGCTGGTGTTCGATCCTGCAACCTGCGGGTCAGCAGCCGAGTACCTTAGCCACTAGATTACCGCGACGTGGCGCCCCATGTGAGAATAGCTCCTCTAATCATTATCCCAACGTGCCTAAGCACTGCAAATCATGAAAGATGCAGACATAGAAGACGGCTTCTTACGAAAAAGAGCTATACCGTCATAAAAAAAAAAGGCAGTACACGCGAAAAACAGTTCCATTAGCGATCCGCTGTCTGAACTTGTTAAAGGCGAGGTGCAATATCCAGACGCCAGATTGTTAAAGCGAGGGCAATATGAACTGGAATAGTCGGTGAGTTGACGTCATTTCCTTCACTATATATAGTCTTTAACGTAATCAAATTTCCCTCCGAGTCCTCACACGTGCTATCTATCTTTTATTCCGTGTGTACAGCGCATTATAGAGCTTAAGGTGAACAAGAAGCCACTCTCTCATAGTGTTAAAGCTACCACTCCCCCTAACGCTGCGTAAGTAAGGCTCAACTTCTTTTACTTCATTAACGTGTTATTTATTTGATTTGCATACACAGATACACAAGGACACAGGGGAAAGAGGGAGAAAGCAAGCTAGCAACTGCCACCTGGAGGGGTGCAATGCCTGCTCACTTTTTCGGGAGGAGGGAAGAAACAGAGGAAACAAAGATTAGAGGGGAGAAAGAGGGAAAAAGATGAGGAAGCGAAGAAATGACGATGACTTCAACTGGTATGACTAAAAACATAAATGAAGATAAATAAAAAAACCATCTATAATCAGGTGGCTAGGTCCGTCTGGTTCAAACGAACCTGGTCACCCGCTGTAGATTTGAAGACAAATAAGCAAAAAAGAAACGATGTTGTACACCTTCGTGAAAATAAATCGCATGATGGAAAACAAGCTTTTAAACTTTGTGCAACCGCATTTATATCTAGGCAAAATACCGACATGGGAACCTACACAGGCGAAGGAAATTCACCCATAAATACAGATGGGCAAGCACTTCAACCTAGTAATGCTCACTTATTAGGCGATTCATGAGAAATAATGGACAATAACGCAAAGGAAAGTGTAAGCCGCGGGTAGGCATGAACATGTAACACCTTATGTGATTCAAGATTATGACGGGATCTTGAATCTTGGATATTGCGTTATGCACCAATATTCTTAGCCTGACGAAGTCACTTATTTGAATTACCAAAGGGCAGCTTCAAAAACGAAAAAAAGACAATAATGCTTGCTGTTACTCAGTAGTTAATAAATAATTCTTTATTGACAAAAGGCTTCGCTTTACGAAAGTGTAAGAGAAGGAGCATTTTTAGAAGAAGTGTTACAGGTTATAGGAAGTGTGGCGTTGTTTGTTAGGTCGACTGATAACAGTCGAATTCAGGCGATAAAGGATATCGCAATCCGAAAGCGGAAAATGTGCTCCTTCCGTAGTCTACTGGACAACACATCGATTCTTGTGGGAATTCGGGTGGCGCGGCTGGAACAGTTGCGGTATATTTCAAAGATGAGTCTCGAACACATACTTAGAAAAGCGGTCGGAAGTTTCATACTGACATTTGCACATACTAGCTGGTATGCTACGTCATTGGCCAAAAGCGTCAGATAATCACACGAACGTGTGAAGCTCTTCAGTTAGAATTAATGAGTCTAGATTCCATGTAGAATATTGAATGTGGATCTCCCCCTATTTCTCACACTAAGTAGCCAACCAAGCGAAAGCTTGGTTAACCTACCATCCTTTCATCTCTCTCTCACAAACATAGTAAAGATGAGATGATGCCATGAGAGAACATAACAGTCGCGTGAATCAGGTACCGCGTAGAGTGAGCTGTATACTTGAAAACCTTAAAAGCAGTTCTGCATAAAAATCCCGCTGCTTGAGCCGAACAATTTGAAGCTTTTGCCTGCTTTGATTGATTGATTGATATGTGGGGTTTAACGTCCCAAAACCACTATATGATTATGAGAGACGCCGTAGTGGAGGGCTCCGGAAATTTAGACCACCTGGGGTTCTTTAACGTGCACCCAAATCTGAGCACACGGGCCTACAAAATTTCCGCCTCCATCGGAAATGCAGCCGCCGCAGCCGGGATTCGAACCCGCGCCCTGCGGGTCAGCAGCCGAGTACCTTAGCCACTAGACCACTGCGGCGGGGCAGCTTTCGCCTGCTGTTTCTCTTTAAATGTCTGAAATATCTGGTTG